GGCGGCGGCGGCGCGGGGTTGGGCGCCCCGGCCTGCGCCACCTCGTGCTCCGAGTCGTCGTCCGTGCTGCTGCCCAGGCCCCGCGCCTCCCGCCGCTTCTTGCGCTTGCGGTTGACGGCCGAGATGAAGGAGATCGCCAGCATCTCCCGCGCGTACGGCTCCCTCCTGGGGGCGCGCGAGGCCTGCGCGGGAGACGGCGGCGGCGTGAGGGGCGCCCACCCGCGGCACCCCGCCCCGCAGGCCCGCGGAGGGCCCTCCGCCCCGCCCCCGCACTCAGCACCCCGGCCCGGCCGTCCCCCCTCGCTCAGAGCCACCGCTCGGGCAGGACCCTGGCCACCTCCCGGCTCTGCTCAAGACGCCTGGCCTGGCCCTGACCCCGGCCAGCCCAGCCTTCAGCCCGGGGACACTGCCGGCCAGCCCTTCCTCAGAAGTGACTGCGGCCCACGTTCCGGCAGCCTTTCGTGTGCCCTCGCCTCCTTTGTCGTTGTTTTTTGGTCCTGGAGATGGAACTCAGGACCCCTGCGCTGATCTCCACCCCCTCCCACCCTTTTTATTTTTTATTTGGAAACGGGGTCTTGCTAAATGGCTCAGCCTGGCCTCCAATTTGCACTCTCCTGCCTCAGCCTCCTGAATAGGTGGGATTATACGTGTCCCACCACGCCTGGCAATGGCTTTGTATTTTTTGTTCCCGAACGTCTCTTCATAGGCTGCTCGGAAGAGCTGCCTGCACCTGCCCTCCCGCTCCTCTCCTCGTGGGGAGCAGCTTGCTACTCTCCCCTCGGGGCTGTGTCCACTGTAACCACCCCCCCCACAGCTTGCTCATTAGCCGGATGTCCGGCTCCCTCTGAGATCAGCGTCACCAGGCTTGAGCCGGTCTGTGGGGCTGTTTTATCTTTCTGTCTGAGCAGAGCGCTGGCCAGCAGGACAGGCTCGGTCAGTGTCTGTGATCTAAGCCTGCTGCCACAGACAGCACCAGGTCTGTCCTCAGGGCACTGTGCTCTCAGAGCACAAGGTGACAGGGTTCCTGCCTCCCATTTTCTGGAAGAGGTGATGGAAAATTGGTCTTATTCTCACATTTTTTGTTTCCCCCTGGTACCAGGAATCGAACTCACAACCTCACGCTTGCCAGGCAGGCGCTGTGCCGCTGAGCTAAATCCCCAGCCCCTATTCTTACATTTTTATTTATTTATCTTTTGAAAAACGGTCTCACTATGTACCCCGGCTGACCTTGAACTAGTGGTGATCCTCCCGCCTGGCAATAATTAAAATATTTTTAAAATGTTTTAAATATAAATAATCTAAAATAAAAATATTTCTAAAATATCTGGTGGAATTTACCAGTGAAACTATTGAGTGTTTTTTTCTTTTTTTGTTAGAGGTTGTTAATTAGAAGGGACTACACCTGTAGTCCCAGCACGCAGGAGGCTGAGGCAGGAGGTTCACCGTGAGTTGGAAGCCAGCGTGGGCTACATAGTAAGTTCCAGGCCAGCCTGAACTACATAGAGAAACCCTGTCTCAAAAGGCAAAAACAGCCAGATGTGGTGACACACGCCTGTAATCCCAGTACTTGGGAGGCTGAGGCAGGCAGATCCTTGCAAGTTGGAGGCCAGCCTGGGCTACCAAGTAAGCTCAAGACCAGCCTGAACTATATAGAGAGACCCTGTCTCAAAAAGAAAAACCAAAAACAAAAAGAGAGAGAAGTTTGATTTCTTTTGTAGGAACAGGACTAGTATTCCTAGGTTAGGAATAGTGGGTTATCTATTTCTTCTTATGTGGGCTTTGAATCTTGATCTGTTTCTCCCGAGTTGGGCTTCTGGGTAGCAGAGAGATCACAGTTAATGTCTGGTTTTCAGTGATGTTGTACTGCCCTTTGTCTCTTTATTCTGCCAGGCCAGCTGGAAGTTTACCAGTTTTATTTGTTTTGTTTTTTCAAAAAAACCCAGCTTTGATGTCAAGCACTGTCGCCCCTGTTTTCCACTTCACATATTTGGCTCTGAGCTTCCTACGTCCTGCCCTTCGCTTGCCTCAGGTTCCCCAAGGACCTTAAAGGACGGGGATCACATAGGACACTGATGATCAGGAGGAGGATAATAACTCCGCCAGCATCCCAAATCTGCTAAGTGACAGAGCCAGGACTTGAACTCAGGACCTCACCCGAGACTCCTGGCCTCCGGGCACCTGAATCCCAGGCCAGGTCTTTCTCGGCCCCCTGATGTGGTGTCCCCACCTTGTGTCCCAGGCACCCCGGCCTCTCCGGTCCCTAATTCTCCTGCCCAACACCCAGGGGCGCAGTGAGGCACCTACCTTGGACTTGGCCGAACTGCAGGTGGTGACGTCTGTGGGGTGAACAGGAAAAGAACAGAAGCTGCGTCAAGGGAGAGCAGGCCGAGTCCGAGAACGCAGTTCCCTGCCCCAAAGGCTTCGGGGACCAGGGACTCAGGGCCCCAGGAGGGTGAGTGACGGGTGGCATTTTCTACGGGATGGGGACGGGTGGGGATGCGGCAGACCATGGTGTCATTCACCGCTTCATCAGAGGCAGGGAGTGACCTCAGGCTGCCGCCCCAGGCCCTGGCCTGCCCAGGTCACAGGCGGAAGTGCCTTTCCTTTGGGCCTGCGCCCCCATCCCTGCCACTGGAGCACTGGGGAGAAAATGCCAAATGTCCACGAGTCTCGAGACCACCATAGTGACACACAGCACACCACGCATCTGGACAACAGGACCACACCGTGCATGGCGAGGTGAGGGCGCCCGGGCCCCCCAACCCCCACCACGAGGAGGATGAGTAGCGAAGGGCAGAGAGGAAGGGGCGCACTGGGGACCATGGGCTGGGGCGGGCCCCCAGAGGTCCTGCCCCAGAGCCAAGTCAAGCTGCCCCTGGGGAAGAGTCCCCGTGGACGGCAGAGTGAGGAAGGGCCTGTGACCAAGGCCCACTCCTTAGTGTCGCCCGCGCGGGGAAGGAACCAGAGCAGGTCCTGGCCCCGGCCCTGCCGGCGGGGCCCCGGGTGCGGTTAATCCACACTCTGCAGCCAGGTTAGCCCTCCCCGGCCCGCACAGTGAGAAGAGCAGACGGGCGACCACACGACACACACGGCGGCAGCGGGTGACTAGAAGAGGCGGGTGCCGGCCACCCACCCCGGCTGGGCAGCTAGGGCTTGCTGGGGCCTCTGTCTGGGACAGGGCGGGACAGCTACAGCTCGGAGGAGCCGGCGGCAGGACCCACTCGGGTGCCTCTGAGGACAGAGGTCAGGGGTCTTGAACGGAGGCAGGAGCTAGTTACAGAAAAGTTAACTTGTTTTTGTCCTGTTTTTGTTTTTGAGACAAAGTTTTGCTCTACAGTCCAAGCTGGTCTTGAATTCACTATTAGCCCAGGGTGCCTCAAATTCATGGCAATCCTCCTGCCTCAGCCTCCTGAGTACTAGATGACAGGTATGTGTCACCACGCTCATGCAAAAAGGCTTCTAGGGGTGGCGTCACTGGTCCCTAAGAAGCTGAGTCCCCTGGGTCCCAGCCGAGCTTCCCTGGTCCTGGTAACGGGAAGTGGCCACAGAGTCTGGGGGCTGGGATAGGAGCAGACTTCTCCTCAGCAGGGATGACTAGTATAGGGGGACATCCTGCCTGCCCCCTTCTTCTAATCACTCGCCACTGTTAGTGACCGAGGCCGAGACACCACACTGTACCCTTTAACTCTCCGACAGGTCCGCTGGAGGAGGGCGGCAGGGGAGAGGGAAGGAGGAGGGAGGTGCGAGAAAAGGAACAAAGGTTAACACAGCAGCCCCGGAGGTGCGGAAGGAGGCACCGCAGCGCCCCAGAGAGGAGCGGCCGGGCCAGCCTGGGCGGGAGGGGACATCCGGCCAGGCCTCAGGGCCCCGCAGGGCCCCGCCCCCGCTCCCCCAGACCCCCGCTCACCTGAGCCCGGCTCGCTGGCGGGCAGGGTCCTGCCGATGTTGGGCAGCAGGTAGTCGATGTTGGGCACCGCCTGCGGCTCCTTGTCGTCTACGGGGGTCTGCGGAGAGGACGCGGGGCTCAGCTCGTGGGTCCCAGATGGCCAGGCCGCGGGACTGCCTCCCCCACCCCTCGCGGGCAGGAGGTGGCCTGGGACGGTGCTCTGCCTTCCCCAGCGAGAGAGGACCCCAGAGGCCCCTCGCAGGGACCCGGGGGACGGGCCGGGGCCCCCAGCGCTCCCCTCCACTCACTCGCTCGCCCTTGTCCTCGTCATCGCTGAAGAACCAGTCCGACTGCGGAGGAGACAAGAGGGAGGACGTCAGGGCGGGGCGGCTGCTCCTCTGCCCCACTGTCCCCCAAAACAAGCCAGCCAGAAGCAGCTTCCGCAGCGCCCCCTCGCGGCGGCCGGCGCACCCCAGGCCCCGCCCCGAGGAGGAGGAGGACGCCGTCGGGAGCCCCCCTGCAGACGGCACAGGCGGGCACGCAAGGACGTCTCATCAGTGCCAAGCAAGGGCAGGAAATCGAGTTAAACCCTCACACTTCAGTACGTCTTGTGCCCTTTGAGGATCCTGAAAAAAAATGATGTAAGTTTTCAGAGAAAAAAAGTGAGGGGAATTTTGAACTTTCGACAACAGACCCAGGGAGAGAAGGAAGAGTTGCCTTCTATGTGCAGAAAGGGAAACCGTTTTGAACCTAGAATTTCACATCCTTAGAACCTCTGGGAGTTTCCCCGCAAGACTCTCCTGACTGAGCACTGACCACGTGAAGAAAGAAGCTCGGGGGTGGGGTGGGGTGGGGGGGGAAGCAATGACCTGAGAGGAGGAAGGGTGAGAGCAGAAAAGACTGAGGATACCAGGAGGCTGAGGCAGGAGGATCCCCAGGAGTTTGAAACCCGGCTGGGCTACACAGTGAGTTCAATGCCAGCCTGGACTACATAGCAAGATCCTGTCTCAAAAAACAAAACAAAACAAAACTCAAAATAAAAAATAAACAATGAGACACACACGCAGATCATCCATGACAATCTGGATTCAGGTTCAGAGGAAGCACCAGGGACTGGTGGGAGTAACTAAGAACGTGGCTTTACATTTATTATTAACTTATTAATTATTATTATTAATATTTTGGTGCACACCAGGAATTAAACTCAGGATCTTGCGCTCGCCAGGCAGGCGTTGTGCCACTGAACATCCCTGGCCCAGGGGCAACTTGTGAGACCTTGTCTCAAAATAAAATTTAAAAAGGGTGCAGGATGTAACTCAGCATCATTTCTCTAACACATGCAAAGCCCTGGGTTCAATTCTCAGTCCCCCACCCCACAAAGAGGGAAGGTATAGATTGGTAAAACAACAACAGATCAAGAAGTCCAATAAACCACAGCACGCGTGTGTCTAACCCATCTTAACATATATTACATGGCAACCCATAGAACTATCGGAGGCCTGGAAATATTATTAGCTATTGGTGCTGATCAAGCAGATAAGAAATAAGCAAAGATGGGGCTGGGGATTTAGCTCAGCGGCAAAGCACCTGCCTGGCAAGCGCAAGGTCATGAGTTCATTTCCTGGTACCAGAAGGAAAACAAACAAACAAACAAACAGAAAAACAAAAAAGAAATAAGCAAAGATATAGGTATTCTTTTTTAAATTTTTAAAATTAATTAATTATTTTGATACATGTGTTCTAAACAACACAACTGAAAAGTATGATGTAGGGTACACCGAGAACTTGTACTCAACGATAACAGATAGTTAGTTAATTCATTAATTACTGAGGTACTCAGAGCTGCATCCAGGACCTTTGTACTGAGTTACATCCCCAGTCTCTATGTTTTTATTCTGAGACAAGGTTTTGCTATTGAACTTGAAGTCCTCCTGCCTCAGCCTCCCAGAGCACTGGAATTACAAGTGTACAGCACCACACCTGGTTTAGAGAAAATATAGTCTTTTAGAACACACAGGAGTCAGTCAGAAACCAGCCACATCCCAGGCCATGCCGAACTCCCAGGGAGCCAGCTCACACAGACTGTGTTCTCTGCTCAGAGTAAAATTAGGAATAATGATTTAAAAAGAGCTAAATACCCACAAATCTTCATATATCTGAAAATGTATAGGTGACACTGTGAAGTGAATTTTCAAAGTCATCACAAAATAGCTGGAGCTAAGTTACAATAAAAATCTAGGAAGAG